CTGGTGGGAGAACGTTTACAGTAAAATAGTGCACCTGTCGACTCGTTGTTCCGCGGCAGCCCGGGTCTATACTGAGAAACCGCTGTCTGACCCGGCGCGGGACCTGGATGTTGGAGGCCTGCTCCGTTTGCCCACAGCGTCGGCTTCCCTACATAGCCTGCAGCCGGGTGGGAATTCTTGAAGAAAGCATAACCACATGAGGCAACAAACTACGAAAAATAACATTCACCAGTGCCCTCCAACAAGGGCGACCTGGTTTCAGTGAACTTGCGCGCTGTGCAATCCATTGATATCGGTTTTCTGTTACAGTCTAGGAAAATGCCGAAAGTTTTCCTCACAACCCCCACAGAATGGCAACAACGTCAAGAAGAAAAGGACCAAAATGCAGCCAATGAGATCCTGGACGCACGTGTATCAACTTGCAGAGGCCAAGAAAAATCAAACGATCAGCTGACGTGGGTTTCTGATGGTAGTACGCGCGAGGCGATTCTTCAGGAGCATGTACGTGCCGTCTTTGAACCACCGGTGACAGCCCAAGCAACGGGCTTGCAACGCAGGGCATAAGAAGTATTGCTTTGTTGCTCCCGTAGATGGGCGCATCTGTCTCCAGAGCCATCTAGTTTTTCGCTGCGATGCTTGCTCCTTCCCGTATCTACAGCAAAGACATTGCTGCCAGCAGAGGAGCTAGCTCGGTTCCCTTGTTGGCAACAATGTCATTTTCTCCGGCCTATTCGTGTGGTCCCCTGCCCAACGTGGCGGACAGTCCGCGCTCCCCACATAACACGGCAGCTACTGGGGATGGCCATATACCCTCGTCTCATTTTGACGTCTCTGAACCAGCAACAACAGGACCAGCAGCATCTCCCGCAGTACCAGATGCGGCAGCAGCAATGTCTGCGACCTCTCGTTGCGGTTTCCCTTCTGGAATGCAGGTTTTCTGTTGCAGCTGTGACACCAGGAGATGCTACTGCCCGCCAACGCGTGTTTCGCTGAGGAACATTGATTGCTGGTTGTATTCCGGCTGCAGCAGCAGAACCGTAGCTGGCAACGGATTTGTCATAGAATAAGGATTCGGGCATATAAGTGTGTTTGGTTTTTCCGACGCCTTCTGGCTCTCGACACACATCAACAGCATTAGATGCAGAAGCACCAAGTGCCGCAGGAACCCGGCCTTCGGTGAAAAGATACTTTGTTGGGCAACTAGGCACACAGGAACGTGTGCTGCTTGCGGGTTGTGGGGGGCAGATGTAGCATGGCCTCTCCGAAGTTTGCACGTGTACTTCTACTTGAGCAGCTGCCTACTAGGGGACAAATAAGTGTTTAACACCTGCGTGCAGCATCACTGCATGGGGCCAAGGAGGCTGTGTTTTGCTTGCATGCCGGGTTGCTTTTCAGCGCTAGTTGCAACGAGGTCCATTGCAACTCATGTCAGGTAGCTTCCTCTGCCGCCTGCCGTCGGTCCTTAAAGAGCTGTGCCGAGGATGCCTGATACTGGAGGAAGTCACCAGCTCCTTTTAGCTGACAGTTTTCTTATGTATTTTGGCGAAGTTTCTATTCATATTAACAACACCATATTGCTTTTCTGTTACTTACATCGTTCAGATGATCTTGACTGCNAGCTTGCCTGTGCTGAGTTGTTGTCATTTACTTCATGTTAGCTATTACCTTATTTATTCTATCGTGGCTATTTTGCCTCTCACTTTGCCAACACTATTGTGAATCTGTTGTTGTTTATTCCATCTTAACAATTTTGTTCTTTACACCATCTGAACGATTTTGCCTTGTTCGTCTTTAGATTAGTAGTAGTATTCTGACTCTGCTGTTACTTACTCCAGCCTAACTGTTTTGTTATTAATTACCCCTTGGCTACTTTGTTTATACTATCAACTGTATTCTGAATCCCGTGCTGTTCTACCGTGACTTTCCTGTTATTTATACTACTTTGCTGTTCCATTTTAACTATTTTGCTATTTCTTGCATTCTAGCAATTTTTCCATTCCAAAGCAACAACTTTGTTATTGCTGCAACGCATATATATATATATATATATATATATATATATAGATACATTGAAGTGCTGTAGCATTTATACTACTGCCAGCCCCAAAAACCAAACCGCATGAAACTGGTCTTAGCGGTTGAATCGCTAATTTGTTGTCATGTTTATGTAAAATTAAATAAAAAAAATTGTTGTTGTATTTGTTTCGTGAATGTTAACTAGAAACGGCAACATCTGGTACTAGCTAGCTCCCGCTCTATCGCCCGCCTGCGATGAGGGGACCACCGGTCAAGTAACTCCTCCCCGTTTTTCCTCCCTTTCTTCTGCTTTTGTCAGCTTTTTAGTTNGGGGACCACCGGTCAAGTAACTCCTCCCCGTTTTTCCTCCCTTTCTTCTGCTTTTGTCAGCTTTTTAGTTCACATTTATTTCCTTTTCTTCTGTTTTTTGTATGTTTAGTTTGCTTTTGCTGCCTTTGTAGGTATTCTCTGTCTCCTTTGCATCCCCAGGTCCGAGGGGGGTCTCTACTTCGGCTCAGACGAACAAAACGAGCGGGACAGATGCAACGAAACAGACAAATAAGTACGAACCAAGAGGATCAACAGCACACAAGAAGGAAATAAGACAAAAAAAGCAAAAGTGACAAGGAAGGCGAACGAGCCGAACCAATACAGAAACAGCATCGATGTCTGTACCTTCTGCCAGTCTAGAGCGGCATGGTGATGATGTTGCACCTCACCCGTTTAATTTGCCTTTTTCGTATTCTCTTTCAATAGATGATGAAAGGAAAAAGACAGAGGACACATTTGGGGATCTGGGAAGGAGGAGACGCTGCAGCGGGCGTGTAAGTGTCTCCCTTGTTTTATTTGCTTCTGTTTTTGCCTTTATTTATCTTCTCTCCCATTGTATTGCATTAAACAAAGAGCAGCAGCTACATGCAGCAGCAAGAAGAAGACTTGCAGGGCAGAAGAGTACAATGGCAAAAGAAAGAGGAAAGAGAGGCAGAGAAGGAGAGGGGATAGGGGACGAAATCAGCTTCGTTCAACAGGTGTGCGGGGAGGAGACAGAGGAAATACGACAAGAGACACCAGCAGCAAGAACGCACAGGCGCAAGAGACCAAGACAGGACCAAGAGTCCATTTTTTTTGGAGATGAAGATGATGATGATACTTCTAGGGATGATGATGCGAATTACGAACCGCCGGAGAAGAGACAAGAGGAGCTAAGGGAGCAGCAAGAGAGCTTTCTTTTTTTAGGCCCTTCTTCCGGTGATGGAACGGATGCAGCAGCAGGAGACGCTGCAGCAGCAGCAGCAGACGCTGCAACAGCAGCAGCACAACGAGAAAAGGCAGAGAGCCTGCGACAACACATCTTGCAGTATGTTGAGGATACGTTAGCAGAAGGACCAAATATAGAGATAGGAGGAGAAGAAATGGATTACAACAGATGGATAGCATCACTAACAGGCATATATGATTTAGATCTCCCATATGGAGGAGACCAAGGAAAAGAAAACGAAAAAGAAAAAGAAGAGGAACCTGCAGAAGAAAAAGGCAAGGAAGAAAGACAGGCAAAAAAGAACGAAGAGGAGGCGGAAATAGAAAAAGAAAGGCAAGAGGCAAAAGAAAAAGAAAATGAAGGGGAGGAAAGGGAGATACAAACAGAAAAAGAAGAGGAGGAATACGAGGAAATCGAAGAAGAGGAACAAGTGCTAGCGGGAATAGAAAAGGATATAGAAAACCAGAAAGGGAAACAACAAGAAAAGGAAACAGAAAAGGAAAATGGAGGGGGAAAAGAAAAAGGAAAAGAAAAAGAGGAAGAAAGAAAGAAAGCGAAGAGTTGGAGGCAGCTACTCTTCATCGATTTGGTCGAACGCGTTGGGCCATCTGTTCTTCTTGAACCAACATTGTCTGATGATGAAGCAAAAGAAAAAGATGAAGAAAAAGGGGAGGGAAGGGGAGAAGAACAAGGAGAAGAAAGCGCTGAGGAAAAGGGACAAGAAAAAGGAGGGGAAGGAGGAGAAGATACACTTCTTGCAGATTCTGGTGATGAGGGCCCTTCTACTGGTCTTAGTGCTGCACAACGTGAGAGGCTGCAGCAGGAGAGCAGAAACAGCAGCAGCAGCAGCAGCAGCAGCACCAGAAGCAGAAGCAACAGCAGTAGCAGTAGCAGCAGCAGTAGCAGTAGCAGCGATTTCGTATCGATAGCAACATCAGCTTTTTCTTTATATTCTGCTCCACAGCTTCAAGGAGTAGTCATTATAAACCCCATCGGTCAGCGCCCTGTAGAAAAAGAAAAAGAAGAAAAAGAAAAGGAAGAAGAAAAAGAGAAGGAAGGAATAGAAGAAGGGGGAGAGCGAGAGATTAAAAAAAAGAGAAAAACCAAACGAAAGAAAAAACCACTAATCAGAGAATTCATAGACACTGTGCCTATAGCTAACACCAACAGCTCTTATCTTCTTGGCGCCAAAGAAATTAAAAACCGTCNTAATAAACAAGAACAAAATAGAAAGTGATGACGAATTAATGATTAGTTTAATTGTTAAAAACACAATAAAAGGAAAACCCCACCATTGACGATGATTAACTATATTGCTGTAGGTAGAAATAGAAAGAAATCATGATAGGTTGATGATTAGTTTCATATAATAAGTAGAAAGGATAGTATAATGACGTAGGATTATTTGAATTATCATAAATAGAAATATCGATGGTGATGACTAATTTAATCACTACAAACGGCAAAGAATAGAGAGAAAAGGGAGTTTCTGTTGAGGCGAAAGGAATAAGCAAATAAATAAACAGCTAGCCGAACAATTTAACTCAAACAAAAGACCCAAAACAAACAAACAGACAGAAAGACAAGCAAATAAATAAAAAACAAATCGATAAACAAATAAATAAACAAATAAGTGAATAATAGTGCCAAGTGTTGTAGGGGATGGAGGTGGGAGGGCTTAGCTGCGTATTTATGTGCAAAGGTTGCAAGGCCCAAGACAATCTTAACCTGTCCACATTCCTCTTGTTCGTATTCTTGCTTTGTTTGTCCTTAATTTCCTTTTATTTGTTTTATCTTTCGTCTTCTCCTTTGCCTTCTTCTGTTCCGTTTTGTTTTTGTTCCTTTCTTGGCTGCTCCTCCTTCTTCTTCAATATCATCTGCTGCCATTATGGTATGGTTTGCGGTGCCTGTGCATCTCATTGGTTTGTTGTGCTTTTTTTTCTGTCGTTGTTGTTTGTTAGGGCGAGGTAGCGCTAGCGATCGTCTACTCGCCTCTTCCTCCCCCATCATTGCAGCAACGACAGCGAGAAGAACAAGCAGAAGAGCAACAACATGAACAACGGCAACAGCAGCAGCAGTGGCAGGACCTGCGTACGCATCCCTTTTTTCATGTTCCTTTAGTAGATGAGGATGCATCTGTGCGTGTATTTCAGCGTAAGAATTGGATATTAACCCCCCGGAGAACAATAAGCGAATTAAGGGCTCTTTTAGGTATACAGGACATATTAAAGAAACCGATAGTAAAAACAGAAGATCTGCAACATCTAATGGGGCACCTTGAGCAGCTAGTGGAACATACACTACATCGTCAGCGACAAAACATCGAGGGCTTATCCTCAAAATATGTTGTAGAGAAGCTTGGCGCTGCTCTGGTGCTAACAGATGCAATGTTTGTTGCAGCAGAAGTATTGGGAAAGAATGCGAAGAAAGATGAATGGTGGCAGGCATCATTAGACACTCTTCCGGTGTATAAACACCCCGCTCCAGGTATATCTATTAGACGCAACGCACAACAAAATGTGCTGCTAGCTCAGCTGCTGCAGAATGCACTTGAATTATATAGACACAACATCAGACCACCTGTTCATCTCCTCGTTCCCCTCAAACAAATCGTCTTCTGTACAACAGCTGTTCCCATCCTATCCAGAGGGCCCTGGACACGCTTCCAGCTTGATGATAGCGAGTGGCAGCAAGAACAGTTCCACAAGCAGCAGCAGCGTCGGCACGACGAACAGTAGCTGCAGCAGTAGCAGCGGCTCCACAAGCAGCAGAGGAACCGCTAGGGAAACAGTAGTTGCAGAAGCTGCAGTAGCAGCGACAGAAGAGGAAGCACTATTTGCAGCGGATGCAGCCACTGCATAAGCCGCAGACGCAACAGCAGTGGGAGCAACAGCTGCAGCAGCTGGAGCGACAACAACAGCAGCAACAGCAAAGGAAGGAGGGTCAGTAGCTGCAGCACCAGCAACACCGGACGGAGCAACGAGAGTAGCGGAAGGTCCAGCAGCAACAACAGCAGCAGTAAAAGCAGCAGCAACAGCAGCAACAGCAGACGCAGGCTGAGGATGCTTTGCTGCAGCCCCAAAACAAATGGAATCAACTCGTGCTGCACCACATTTAGCAGCAGGAATAAATAGATAAATAAAAAGTAATAAAATAAATTATGATTATATATCTAGGCAAGTAAATACTCATAACATCTAGAAGGAGACGAAGGCGACGGTATCCTTATACCCCTCCTTTCTCTCTCACCTTTTTCGCCTCAGCAGCGAAACCGTTAGACAGAGACAACAGCTCAGCAGAGATCCACGACAGCGTATTTGATTATATTATGTTGGAATATCATATGTTATATTATGTTCATACTATGCGACCTTGTATTGTAATATATTGTAATCTAATAGAATACAGGATAGTGCATTCCATTGAATTAGATTATTTTGCATTACATTGCCCTACATGCTATTCTATTATTTTCATTTATATTATATTCTTTTCTGTTCTATCCTGTTCTGTCCCATTCTATTATATTCCGTTCTGTTTTTGTATATCTATTTTATTCTATTACATAAGTATTTTTCTATAAACAGTAATCTTTACCAGGTGACATAATATATAGCTCATATATAGAATATGATTCCTTTGACTGTATTAATCATTTATTATATTATGAAATATGAAAATGAGTGTAAGTACAATGTAAATTTTGTTTTATGAATATTATGTACAGAAAATAGAAGCAGCCGCTTCTGCGTTCGTTTTTTATATAAGGGAGACAACAAACTTTCAAACTGCTTCTTGCTTTGTTTGTCTTGTGGAGCGATTTGTTAAGACTCCATAATGCTGCTGCAGCAGCAGCTGCTGCAGTAGCAACAGCAGCAGCAGGATAAGAAACAACGGCAGTTGCCGGGGCAGAAGAAGCAGACAAACGAACGAATTTCTTTACGCGCTTGTTTGCTTGCTTGCCTGCCTGTTGTTATTGTTTATTTGTTTGTTGGCGTTTAGATTGATTTGATTGATTTTTTTTATTTTGTCTATATTTCGGATTGACGAAAACAAACACAAGCCATCCGACAGGAATTTAATTACATTCATTTAATCTGATTGAACTTAAAATTGCGTTGTAGCCTCCATGCATATCTTTTGTCTGTTTTGGCTCCTCTGCCTCTTCTGCATCATTTCTTCTGCGCCTGTTACTTCTCTTATATCCATATCTCATTTCCCTGCTGTTTATCTCTTTCTTCCTTTTCCTCTGCCTTTCTTTTCTTCTGTCTCCACAGGTTCGTCGGTTCTCGGCAGTCACCCATTACCCCCACTGAGGAAGTTTAGGGTTACAGGGTTTACGGGATATAGAGGGTTTTAGAGGGTTTCGGGGGTTTAGAGGGTTTAAAGGGTTAAGGGGACCTCGGGGTTTTAAATGGTTTCCAGGGATTAGGGGGTTTGGGAGACTTAGATGTTCTAGAGGGTCTAGGGAGCTTAGGGTTCAGATGGATTGGAAGCTTTACGGGGCGTAGTAGAGAGTTTCGGGGTTGTAGGTTTCAGAGAGCATACTGTTCAGAGGCTTTAGAGTTGAGAGGGTTTAGGCTCTTGAGGTACGAAGAGTTAGGGCTTTAAGGTTCGGGGGAGGAAATAGTGCATACTGATTAGGATTTAACCGGGAGGTCTACTAAGGTTTAACGCGGCAACAGCCTAGGGTTTAGCGCAGCGAGGGTTTAGGGCTTAACGCGCTTATTATTTATGGTTTAGCGCGACGATGGTTTAGTGTTTGGGGTTTAGAACTGCCAGCACTCTCATGTAAAGCACCAAGCTGCCCCACGGAGGAGATCCTGAGATTGTTGAGGTTTAGGGTTTAGAGTTTGTAGTGTTTGGCGTTCAATACTTAGATATGTAATCAGTAACCCCTAATCGATTGCGATGCCGCGGCATCAGCTAAACCATCAACTGCACAAGTAATTCACCCGACTTCATTTTCTCTTCTGGGCGGCCTCAAGGGGACCCCCTAAAACCTGGGGCCCTCCGCGTAACTCTCTCTTGGCTAGGTAGACAGCAGAGGGCTACCCCATCTTACCTGGGGGCCCCCTATGGCGTAGAGGCCCTTCGTAACCCCTAGCAGCGCAGCCCCCTGTTAACCCTTGGGGGACCCCCGTTACCCCTCGGGGCCCCCTGCTACCTGGGAGCCAGTCATTACCTTGGGGCCCCCATTACCTGGGGTCCCCTCTTTATGCGGGGGCTTTTGGGGGGGGCCCAAGGTACCCGTGGGGTCCACCTGCTACCCAAGGAGGCTCCTTCTTGAATCGGGGGCCCCCGTTAGCGTTAACATTACTGATACAAAATAATGAATATTTGGATACAGGAATTCGACAGTGTTCTGACAAACAATCAAAAATTTCACCTGACATATGCGACTGCTGTAGCAGCAGCAGCAGCAGCAACTGTTGCTGCTGCAACTACAGCCGCCGCTACTGTTGCTGCAGTGATATGAACGCAAGTTACGATGCAGTTCCTTGCTGGAGTCCTGCTGCAGTAGCAGCAGCAGCGTCTGCCGCAGCAGCAGGTGCAGCGGATGCTGCTGCTCCATGGCCATTGCCAGAATGTGAGGCTGTGGGAGGTGCTGCTGTTGCGGGTGTCGTTGATGATGCTGTTGGTGCTGCTGCTGCTGCTGTGTTTCCATCTTTACCCGCAACAGTGGCAGGAATAGCATTCGTTGCCTTAGCAGCAGGAGTAGCAGCAGCAGCAGAAGCTGTGTTGATTGCAGCGTTCGCCTTTTGCGTTGCTTCCGTCCCCGCATCAATGCTGCGTTTCCGTTTGAGCTGTTGCTGCTGCTGCTGTTGTTGTTCCTGGCGCTGTTGCTGCTGCTGCTGCTGGTGTTGCTGCTGTTGCTGTTGCTGTTGCTGTTGCTGCTGCTGCTGCTGTTTAAGCTGCAGCTGCTTCTGCTGCAGCGGAGCCAATGCACACATCTGAGGGTCTAGAGATAAAGTCCGTGACACCTGCAGCCAACAGCGCTGGCAATCCTGCAGTGCTGCAGCGTCCAGACGAAGAGCAGCAGAAGCAGCAGCAGGCTGCGATATAGAACGTAAGAAAGAACGACATACAGACACCTGAAAAACAAACAAAACAATAATAATACAGTCAGCAAGATAATCATGGAGATAATAATTAAGATAATAGCACAAAACAAAGGTGTAGCTTAGGCACTAGGGTTTGCGGGGTGTAGTTACAGCTGTCTCGGCATTGAATGCAATGTCTGCTTGATCTNTAAATGGCGAGTAATCCAAATTTAGGGTTTAGGGTTTAGGGTGTAGGGTTTACGTACAGCTGTCTCGGTGTTGAGTGCGAGGTTTGCTTGATCTAAGTAGCGAGTAATCCAGGGGGGCAATTTATTTCGTTTGTCGGGGCGGGAGAAACGCGCATCCGCAAAAACCATTAAAGCGAAGTCTCTCTTAGACCGAATCACCCTGCCCACGCACTGTGCAGCCTGCACGCAAAAACCCTAAACCCTAAACCCTAAACCCTACAACTTGTAAACCCGGAAACCCAAACCCGAAACCCGAAATCCTAAACCCTAAACCAGAAATGTGGAATTCCCCAGACCGAAAATTCTGTAGAAACCCTAAACCCTAAAAACTAAATACTAAGCTCCGAAGCTAAAGTTCCGCTTGAGACGTATGCAACAAAAGCAACAACAGAAGCAGGAGGGAAATCACTAGCATCCGCGTTCGCAGCAGCAACCGCAAACTCAGCACCAGAGCAACATTGCAGCAAACACAAGCAGCAACAACAGCAGCAACAACAGCAACAGTAACAGCAACAACAGAAGCAGCAGCACCGCACGTTACCTGGCGCATTGCATCGAAGGTTAGGAATTCACTTTCTTGAATTTGATACCTTTCCTAAGAGTCAAAAGCACAAACCCTAAACCCTAAACCCTAAAGCTTACCCCCTTAGCCACAAATTCTGAGCTTATTTCGTAGTGTCTAGCCCAGTACCTCAAACGCGAATCTCTAGGCCGTAAACCCTTAACCCTACGAACGCTACGCCTCGACCACCAAACCCTAAACCCAATACCCTGGACTCCGACCCTAAACCCTAAACCCTTAACCCTAGCTGACCCTTAGGAAGTCCAGCCTGGCCTTCAAAACCCTCGACAGGGCGTATTGAAAAGGAATGCCAAACAACACCACGCACCGCCCGAAGTGGCGGTCAAAGTCGACGCCTTCCGCAACCTTGCCCCTAATCGCACAAACCCTAAATTCTAAACGCTAAACCCTAAACCCTAAATTTTTAAGATGGATTGCTACGTGCTGACACGACCCAGCGGACTTCTTAGTCTCCTCTTTGCTAGACCCCCATGTTGCCCTTGTCTGAAATACAAGGGACGGTATGAACCGAACCTTCACACCCTAGGCCCTAAACAGTAAACCCTACCTTGCAACTGAGAAGAAAACCGCCCCTCTACCACAGTCGCATGCCTTCTTAAAGTTGTAGAGGGCAAGGGTTGTGGTGACGACGTCTTTGGTTTCGAGGAACACCAACTTGTGCTCCAGCACTTGAGCCAAAAACCCGTTTTCGTACCTGCACATACACCGCAAACCCTAAACCCTAAACCATAAACCCTACTTTGCAACTGAGAAGAAACACCCGCAGGTCTCTGCTCAGACCTCAGTTTCAGTTCGGTCTCCAAACTAGAGATCGTCTCGGAAGAGCCGCAAGACCAACAAACCCTTAACCCTAAGCCCTCAACTTAATCCTGAACCCTAAACCCTGAACGGTAAAGCGTGAACCCTGGACCCCAAACCCTAAACCGCAAACCCTAAGGCCTAAACACCAAACCGCAGACCTTAATCCCCAACCCCTAAACCCCAAACCCTGGACCCCAAACCCTATACTCTAGGCTCCAAACCCAAAACCTTCAACCCCAAGCCCTAGACCCTAATCCCTCAACCCCAAACCCTAAACCCTAAACCGTTGAGCATACCAGTAAGACATGGCTGTTTCCATGTATGCGTAGGAGGGGAAGAAGCAAACCAAGCCATCGGGCACCGACTTGCATAAATCGAGCAGCAGNCCATGTATGCGTAGGAGGGGAAGAAGCAAACCAAGCCATCGGGCACCGACTTGCATAAATCGAGCAGCAGATTTGCATAATTTCGCAGCACGCTGACATCGTGACGGTATTCAAACTTCGACGTCAACGGCACCTAAACATAAACCCTAGACCCTAAACCCTAAACCCTAAACCCTTGTTCAAGGCGCAAGATTGGTCGCGGACCTCATGGCACTTCAAACAGGAGGAGCAGCTCGCATTCAAACCCTAAATTGTGCACCGTTTGGTGGAGCTGAGCTCGCCGTTAGGGTTTAGCTAGGGTTTGGGGTTTAGCTAGTGTTTAGGGTTTAGCTAGGCTGCATGCCTGATCAGCGCCTCTTGCAACAATCATAGGACAGAAGCAGGCTCGCTCCATCGAGACGGGAAAGGACTCCGCTATCAGGGGCTGCATGAACAAATCACAAACCTTAGACCCTAAACCATAAACCCTAAACCCTCGAGCGTAAACCCTTTCCCCTCCGCGCTACGTGTCAGTTTAGGGTGTCTCAGCATGGCACCAGCAGGCCGACAGCTCTGCGGGTTAGCAACTAGGGTTTAGGGTATAGGGTTTAACTTGTGTTTAGAACTCCGCAAGGGTTCACTATTTGTGGGGTTTAGGGTTTAGGACTTACAACGAATGCGAGGATCTTTGGATAGAGCTCGAGAGGGGAGATTGTGCCGGATGTAAGAATAACAGATTTAAACCGCTTCAATACCGGCTGCATTGCCAGCGAGGCATCTAAACAGCACAACTGCAGCAGCGGGTCGTGCAGCCCCGAGGCCTCAGGGTAAGGGTCTACGATCACTATAAACCCATCCCTGAAAAACAAACCATAAACTGTAAACCCGAAATCCTAAACCCTAAACCACAAATCCTATATACTATATTCCAAGCCATACACACCATACGCAACAAACCCTTAACCGTAAACTACAAACCCTAAACCCTAAGCCTCACACCATATCCGCCTAAGTCGCAAACCCTAAACCCGAAACGGCAAACCCTCGACCCTAACCTCCGCAGCAAACCCTAAACCATAAAACCCTAGATCACGTCTTCAAACAATTAACAAGAGCCAGCAGGAGCTAAACGCAGACTTCTAAACCCTAAACCCTATGCCGTGAACTCTAAACCCCGCATCTCTTCCTTTGTCAATTTGCCCTTCCAGCCTCAACCCATCTTCTCCCCCCCAGCCCGCAGACGCAATGTTAGGGTTTAGGGTTTAGGGTTTACCAGTAGGTGCCCACAAGAGTGCAGAAATCCGCGACAAGAGTCAAAGGCAGTAACTTTTCTAAATCCGTGACCTGAAGGGCCAGCAGCAACGCCTGAAGGAAAAAACAAAAACGAACAAAAGTACATGAAAACGCATACCATGGAAGATAGATACAAACGTGGATAAATCGTGTAATAACACACACACACATATATATATATATATATATATATATATATATATATATATATATATATATATATATA